CAGCAATTTACATAATAATAATACAGTGAATTCCTTTCTTGCGGCTGAGAGCCTGAGCTCTCCTGCTGAGCTGCAAACCAGCTTCTTGGTCTAGCTCTCAGCTAACCCAGCCCGTCAACCAAATCGTTCCCTATCCTCATTGAATGTTAGCCTTGTTTATTGGGGTTCTTTCATTGGATGCCCAAGCGACTTGACTTGAGCCTAGTGTAACCAATTTCTGCAAAACCTTCCCAGCCTCCATTTCTTAAGTTTTGGAGGGTTCATTGGTGCTGCCCGAGTAACAAAATCAGCACTGGATCTAACACCAGGGTCCGCAAACTGGGGGTCAGGACCCCTCAAGGGGCTGCAAGGTTATTACCTGGGGGGTCGTGAGCTGTCAGCTTCCACCCCAAACCCCGCTTCACCTCCAGCATTTATAATAGTGTTAAATATTAAAAAAGTGTTTTTAATTTATAAGCACTGAGGCTTGCTGTGTGAAAGGGGTCAGCACTACAAAAGTTTGAGAACCACTGCTCTGGCACAAGGTCTGTCACTAAGGGTCTGTCTACACTGCCGAGTGTTCCCATGGTAGGCTCGCATGTATGTGATCTGTGCTTGCCAAGCCCTCTGCAAGCATCCACACTGCAGGGCTACACGTCTCCCATAGCCATGTATCCGCACGCACACTGGCACTGCAATTACGTGAGTCTGGTGCTAGGATTTCTGGAGATGTACCCTGGGAATCTTAGCATCTCACTAACTGGAGCTGATCTAGGAACTGGTTTGCAATGTATTGTGGGAGAACTTGTCTGTCCTTCCCAGGCCCCTGTGTAGAAGCACTCTTAGCCTGCCCAACACATTTAGCTGAGGCACTTCCAGCTTTGCACACTCCTCACTTCTGTCTGTTTCGGCAGGGCTCTAGTCTCCAACCTCCGCTGTCCCTTTTGAGGTTCCATGGCTCTCTGGTGCCAGCTTTGATGGAATCTGATATGACTGGGGCTTGTCACCATCAAAGAAAAAAAGAACTGAGTATCAATGTGGACTGCCCAATGAAGACCTCTCCTCCATGTACAGCAGCAGACAAAAAGCAAACAGAATACGAATGGGATGGAAAATGATAAATCACAGTGCTATTATATAAATCAATGATTTGCCCTCCCCTGGAATGCTGTGGGAGGTACCAGTCACCCCATCTCAAAAAAGATGTAGCAGAAACAGAGGAGCTCAGAGATGGACGACAAGAATGATTAGAGGCACAAAGAAAATTCCATATAAGGAGAGATTGAAAAGATTGGAACTATTGATTTTAGAAAGGCAAATAATAGGGGACATAGTAGAAGTATACAAAATAAAGAATGGCCTAGAGTAGGTAGATCAGGTACTGCTATTCACTCTCACTATACAAGGACAAAGGGACATTCAATGAAATTGAAAGACAACGTATTTAAAATTGATAAATGCACATCCTTTTTTACCTAATGCATAACTGACCTGTGGAACGCATTGCCACCAGGTCTTGCTGAGTCCAAGAGTCTAGTAACGGTAAAATAAAGAAATAAATAAAAAAGGATTATACAGGAAATGACAACAGTCGTCTTAGATGGCCAAGTTTGTTTAGGTTCTCAGCAAACATGATAAATGACTCTGCCAAGCTCCCTAGCTAGGCACACAGATTTGAAAGTGTCAACCTTAGCTTGCAGCTAACTTTGCTATGCACAAATGCACAGTACGTGGGTGCACAGCTATGAAACCTGCTGTGCCTACGTAACCCACGGATGAGTGTGTCTGACGTGTCCCCTTCTCGGCCTTACCGTCAGAAGATGTGAGTTGGTTACAGCCCCAGATAGGCCACTTTAGCTCAAGCTGTAGCTGCTCATGCTTTCGGCTCTGGAGGTTCAATTCGTGGTATGTCAGCCAAGAGACCATCCATCGCGCATGCGCAAAGTCTTGATTGTCACGTATGGGATGGCTCCAACAAACCCATTTTCTCCAAGACCAGCTCACCAGGGAGAGCTATTCCCATGCCAGCTTTCACCCTTCAGCTCTCAGCGTTTCCAACTGGGCGGTTGTTAAATAAACAAACAAGCAAAAAAAGCCACAACAATTTTTGACAATCCCTTTTTTTCTACTTTTTCACACTGCTCTTATTCCAACAGGGCTGAATCACTATGGCGCCAAGTTCTGTTTCTTTTTTAAATTCAGCTGCACGTGGGGATGACGGCTGGAAAATTTCAGCCTTAAAAGTGAACTATCCATAAAGCTCTGAGTGTCTGAACACAGAGGATTATAATGGAAACGTTATGCAACCTTGGCTACATTGGGTCCTGCTCTGCGGCAGTGCATAGCTTGGATCCCCAGCATTTACGTGTGTTTTTGCTGTATAGGCATTAAAATGGGGACCATACACCTAATGTTGGCATTTGCCTAGCAGACATAACAGTAGTTTGTAGGGTCTGTACACTGTCTCTCTTGTCTTTCCAGCTGCCCTGGTGATTACTCGTGCTTTGGTGATTGTGACTGGCATTCTGTGCCTTGGTGCGGTGCCCTGTTTAATCGCAGGAATGAACTGCACCAAGCTGATCAGTGACCAGGTCCATCCGAAATACAAATTCTCCCTTGCTGCTGGGACCCTTTTCCTTCTGGGAGGTAAAACCAATGCTTTTATTTAATGCAAGCACAGTATAAATACTCCTGGATCTGCATCTATACACCCATCAAAGGGGCTTCAGTTTGGTAACTCTAGGGCTGCGTCAGGGCACTGGCTGAGGTTCAGTCCTGAATGTTGACTCAGAGTCCTGGGGTGGGATTTGAAAAGCACCAGGCACTGGTTTCACTCTGCCCCAATGGATGTCAATGGGAGTTTTGACCCTGCCTCCAGTCAGAGCGGCATTCAGCCAGTGTGGCAGGCTCCTGAAAACCCCACCCACTGCCTGTAGGCAGGGCTCTGTAGCGCCCTACGGCCTCGTGACAATGGGTGAAATCCCAGCCTAATGCAATCATGGCAAAACTCCCATTGACGTCAAATGAGCCAGGATTTTACCCAGCTGTGGGCCAAATTGAGCAGCAGTGTAAGTGATAGTGTAAGTCCATGTCACTTGGTGGGTGTCAATGGTGTAGCTAGCATGCCATGAAGATGGAGTGATAGCAGGAGAACAGCCAACTGACGCTTGTCAGAAGGTCCCTCCTATTTGATCTTCCACCTCTGACACCCTCCTATTGGTTGCTCTCCTGCTGTCACCCCACCATCATCAGGCCATGTTAGTTACACCAGTTTACCCCCACCAGGACCGCCCAGAGGATTCAGGGGGCCTGGGGCAAAGCGGGGGAGCTGCAGCGCTTGTACTCACCCGGCGGCGGTCCGGGTCTTCGGCGGCGGGGGGCCCTTCAGTCGCTCCG